TGACGCGGGGCTCCCTGCAGGCTCGAGGGTGTGACCCCGATCGGGTTGTGGTGGCGCCGATCTGGGTCATGACGTCCCAGATCTGGACTACGGCGGTGTGGCGGCAAGCCGGCGTCCTATCGGCGATTGTGGTGCAGGCGGGCACTGCTCGTCCCGATCTAGGGCAGAGGGCCTTGGATCCGGGTGGCATCCCTGAGGTTGGCCTCTATGTCCGGTGGCGCGGCGGGGCGGGCGGGCTGCCGGGGATTGGGTCGGATGGCCCACGATCCACTGGCAGGTTGGTGCCATGGCTTGTTGCCTCGGCGGCCAACGACATCGAGCTGCTTCTTCCTCCAATACTTGCATCGTGCACTCAATCGTAACGGACTTGGCTGCGCTGCTTGCCGGTCACCGGGTGGGGCGGAGCGGGAGGCGGTATTTGGATTAGGATGATTCCTTGGCCGGCTCCTGCCGGCCGTGACGGTGACACCACCCGTGCGTGTCGTTTCTCTTTCTGGAGATGTCGTTCGGGCCTCCCCACCTTTTCCCACTCCATGGTTTCTCGAGTGAAAACCATAGGGCGGTGATAGCACTCTTGGCGTCGTGTTCTTCTTGAAGGCGCCATCGTGAGAGCTATGTGGTCATGGGCACGGCTTTGTGTTCGTGGGCACTGGCAGTTGGCGTGCCCCTCTTCCTCCAGGGGGCATATGCTTCGGGGAAAACCGTGGATCTGGGTCTCACGGATCGGATGATGACGGAAACTATGGCATCGTTCCCCCTCTTGAGGGCATCGTTTTGGAGCAAGTGCTGATTGAAAGGGCCCAAAGACGGAGCGAGGTTTCATCTTCTGCATCGATGACGGTTGGTCTCGGCAGTGTGGTGCAGTCGAGGCTCGGCATCTGATGCGGGTTGACGGACTCGCGCAGGAGGGCGACGTTGTCTAGCATCATGGTGGCATTGACGGCAAAGAGTCCTGGTAAGGTCGATGCAGCAGTTCTGTTATGAGGATGGATCGATGGAAGATGGAGGTGACGACCCTTGCAGCGTGCGGTGCTCACTGAGAGTGTGCTGGACCGGTGTGTGACCGAGTCTAGTAGTGGCTTTGGGTCGATGCATCAGTTTTGATTTTGGTGGTCGCCCTCTCCCGAGCACTCCTGCAGCCGGCCGCCGCCCGGTCTGGCTGCTCCGCCTCCTGTGGTCCGGCTCTGCGCGTACGCGCCGCCAAGCTCCGGCTTCCCACCGCGTGCGCTTCTACTATCTGCCACGAACCTGGGTAAAAAAAGAAAAAGGGCCGGCTGCGCATGTGAAGAAAAAGAGAGAAGAAGGCCGGCTGTAAGAAGTAACAAGAAAGAAGGGGCCCGGCTAGGCCAGCCGGCACGGGGGGGCAGTTGGGACGGGCCGGCCGGGACGCTCCTCGACTGCGCAGAGGATCGGGGCCCCTGCCGGACGGCGCCTCCGCCCCGGCTTCCCAAAAACAATGTGAGCTCCCGTCTGCATATCTTTGCACTGCGCACAAAAACAGATAACCCGGAGCGACCCTCTGGGGCCATCTCCACTTTCTTCCAGCTGCTTTGTTGTTCGGCCCGGGGCTGGTCAGTTGGCCCGACACGTTCTCCCACTAGACGGCTTAGTAGCATGTTGAGTGCGGTGTGCCCCTTGTCAAGGACTGTAATGTTTCTTTAAGATATGATTATTGATACGGCTAGTAGGACTTAGAAGGTGAATGTAGTTTGTCTCAATGTTGAAAATACGGAACTGTAATTGGTACTAGTACTTACTGTATTTTGAAATCAGGTTAGCTGCTACATTTCTATGGATGGAAAACTCAGAATAAAACAATCCAGAGATTCGGTCATCCTGCAACGGCCCTGCCAAAATTCAAGCACAGTCTTTTTAGCAGTGTTGTATCATAAAACGTGCTTGTTCTGCATCTGCAAATGACCAACACACATACCAGTATCAAGAAGAAATTACTGAAAGTACGGTTAGACAATGCTACCCTAAAGAAGTTATTGATACCAGTATTAAGAACTTTAAGACCAAGAAAATAACTGCAGGGCTCCAGGCCCCCAAACAGCACGTGCGCATTACTGCAGTGAAAGGAAAAATGTTTGAGATGTGTGTATACTGTATATGAAGCAATACCAGAGTGGGGTGCTAGGACAACATCAAAGATGTTTGCAGGATTAATTATGTTTTCCTGTATTAGAACTGTTTCCCTTTCAAACTTACCATTCAAAGATCTTAGTTTTGACTGCAATTTTTTCCCTATACATGCATTTCCAGATGACCATGTATATTTAGTGTTTTTTTAAATGTATGCTACAAGGTTGTTTCCATTGGATATCACTTCATACGAAATGAACATCTTTAGTGTTTTTATTAATTCTTCTAATTTGATTATATCTCAAATGTCGCTGACCTTGGTTTAATTCCTTCTTTTACTACTCCCACCGTCTGAAAATACTTGTCATCAAAATGAATAAAAGAGGATGTATCTAGATGTATTTTAGTTTTAGATGCATCATTTTTTGTCCATTTTCATGACAAGTATTTTCGGACGGAGGGAGTACTTGGTTTACAGGTGGTATGGTAGAAAGAAGGAGAGTACTGTTGATTCCTGCAATTAGTCTCACCATTGGCTCCCTTTAGTATAATCTGGAGAAGGGAGCAGCAAAAGCTGAATTTACTGACTGTGAGTTTTCAATCAATATCCCACCATTTGAAAAATAGACTGGTTTTCTGTACTTCTAGTCTGCTACAACACATATGCTTTGAAACTTTAACCTATTAAGACTGTCTTTATAAACCTTTAGGTATCAGATATTTGGATAGTCGACATTGTAGACAAGTTTTGCTCTACTAAATTAGTTTTACCTTATGGCCGTAATCCCTCATACCTTGTTAGCATATTTTGTAGACATTTTTTAGTTCGTTGGTCTCTTGGTACTTCGGAAAAACATTTCAACTTAAGAAGCTACTGCCAGCGGATGTATATAGCTATCTGCTGCTCAATGAGCTCATGTTTAAAAGTTTTAAGTCATCTAGTTTCCCATTCATAACTCATATAGGAGTTCATAAGTAAAATTTGGAATCACGCCTTACTCTTTGATGTTGCAATTATAGTGCCAGCGCTTTGTGGGAAGGATTATGGAAAGACGAAAATGAGTTATCCAGATTACACTGAAACTGAATCAGGCCTCCAATACAAGGTGCTTACACTGCCATTCGATGATTCCTGCATAATACTCAAAAGTTCAGATTTATTAGGTTCACAATTTTCATGAGGAATTACAGGACTTGCGGGTTGGAGATGGCCCATCCCCAAAGAAGGGAGAGACAGTAGTGGTGAGTAGCAAGCATCACATTTGCGTTGGATTCTAGCTCATTTTGTATGTATGTTCTTCAGCTTTATTTGTTTAGGTGTGCAACCACGATGTTGACATGGATTTGTGAATGCACATCAGATTGATTGGGATGGGTACACAATTGGATACTACGGTCGCATTTTTGAAGCTCGAAACAAGACCAAAGGTGGTTCTTTCGAGGTACAAATGCTGCCTGAAGTTGAAGAAAAAAAAAGAATATTCTCAGCTTCCTTGGCATATATATTTGTTGAAGTATAAACTGAGTTATTCCTTCAGTTCGATCAATTCCCCTGTTTTGCATTTCCATGTAGGGTGGTGATAAAGAATTCTTCAAGTTTAAGGTTGGATCAGGACAGGTGATTTACTAATTACACAAGTACTACTCAAATACGCCTCTGGTAGTCTGGTTTCCTAATAGTACCATTTTTGGACGTCGGCATGATCTCCAAAATACAAATTTGACAAATAATTCTATAATAATATATTTGTAAATACCAAAAAATTATATATTGGGAAATTTTGTATGTATCCAGTCTAAACACTTAAAAATATATTGTCAGTCACTATTTTGAAATTAACTTTGTTTACGATCAAAACAACAGCTTCTCTAGAAGTCGGGTGATAGTTCGCTTACACTCTTACACTTAATTACATTTAGAGGTTTCACTCCATTGTGTATTCTGAAGCTACTATTTGTTACGTGCTGATAAGTAGCATCTTAATAACATCAATTAGGTAATACCAGCCTTTGAGGAGGCTATGACAGGCATGCGTCCCGGTGGAGTTAGAAGGTCAGTCCCACATTTCCATAACCACAATTTCTAAATGTATTAACGCAACTTTTAACCATATTACTGATGCCCACACCCTTCAGGATAATACTACCACCGGATATTGGATACCCAGATAATGACTTGAACAAGTTAGGCCCAAAACCGACAACATTTTCGGTAATATATTTCCCTGAATTCAGAAGTTTTTCTATAATTTTGATGATTAGATAACAAAAGCACCATATTTTTCTTACAGGGACAAAGAGCTCTAGATTTCGTTCTAAGGAATCAGGGATTAATAGACAAAACTCTCCTGTTTGACATTGAGCTTATCAGGATAATTCCGAGTCAATAGTATACAAGGTTCCTCCCTTCCCCCAAAGTGAATCTTCCTTGTCATTTTCTCTTGTTCATCCTGTTCAACTGAATAAAATGTTAGGAGCTTGGGCTATTGCAGGGAAATTTTGATGACCAAGAAGCATACAGTTTGAGCATGGAATCAAATCCTTTGATGATCATGGGATATGTAAATATAAATACTATATACTTGAGTATTAGTAAAAAGCTTTGATATCGTCCACCCATTTTGTTGTTTAATGAAAACATACTAAGGATTTTAAAGTGCAACCAGATAGATCGAATCTATTCTTGAAATAGACAACTTTAACACACTCCCTAGATTGGGTTAATAGTTGAATAAATACTTGCAGCACACAACTTACACAACACGAAAAATTATGTACTCTTCATGCACATTTCCTGCCTTTTATTTTATTTTATTTTATGCACTACCTAGATTAATTTTGAAGCCTAAGTATTAGGGATTGACAGGGAAACATATACCCATAATACACCCTCTGTTCTCTAAATATAAGTTGTTTTGGCAGTTCAATTTAAACTGCCAAAATGTTTTATATTTAGAAACAGAGGTAGTACCTAGAACTAGAAGAGAGAACATGTGCAACTAACTGCATATGCTTCATTTGTTTTGCTCTTTTTTTTGCCATGTCTAGGAGCTGAAAGCTTCAGCCTCGGTGATCTGTCCTTAATCTGTTTCAGTCTCCTGCAAAAGGGAAGCTTTTGTAATCAAAATTTGACTGGAAATTTGCAATATGCCCTTCTTTTGAATTATAATATCATGAATTAAGCATATAGAGTGGATTTTATCTGATATTGTCCCCAATATGTACTTCTTTTATCTGCCCAAATTAGAGCAGCAAGTATATATGAAATTTTATCGGATATTGTCATTTATTCTGAAAATATGGTTGTTCAAAAATTGTGTGTGAAATGATGCTGTTTCATGGAACATTCTTGTAGAACCTCTATGTCAACAAAAGCATTTAACTTTGTCAACGGGAAAAGTGAATTAGTTGGTACCAAAGTTTGCCCCGCAACTAAAATTTGATGCTTTGGGTTGAATTTTTTTTCCCACTTCAACTTTTGCTCTAGACAGATGGATGGTAGACTGATAGTAGGTTTGACCTTCCCTAGCTTTAATGATTTCGATTTGGAGCTTAGGAACCGTGTTTCATTTGAACTAAGGTCCTATTCATTCTAGGTCATCTTTGTATTTCCACATGAAGTTTTTGCGTGCTGTCTTTCTTAGTTAGCCACACATTTGTTCATGTTTGAGTACCTCACTCATTAAATTTGTATGAGGTGATTATACACAGTGACTAAATAGTCTTTTAGTAACTCCTTGTATTAACTTCACTTTCAAGACATTCATCAATGAACACAGAACCCTATTCGTCCCACCCCATGACTCACGTCTTGCTTGAAGCTATGGGCTTAACAACACGAATTCAAGTCGCACTGCTAAGTTTCTTGATGCTTCGTAACCCCACCAAGTCAATTGTGTGCTTCAATGCTATGCATTTTAAAGGAAATTCATGCTCTTACAATTTACAAACGTAACCTACTATGCTATGTTCCATTGGCTAGAGAGCATTGGATTTATTGTCTGGGTATCTTCTTGAAACTTCTTCCACTAAAACACCCTTCTATGCAGTGTGGCGGCAGTCTAGAGAAATTGGGCAAACCAAAGACCTTGATGAAAAATCATTGATGAATGGTGGCCATATTTAATACATGACATGAGAAGATTAGTACTCCCACCGTCCCATAATGTAAGACAATTTTTGACACTACACTAGTGTAAAAAACGTCTTACATTATGGGACGGAGGGAGTAATTTTGAAAAATCTCTTGATCTAGACCACGTTCTGAGCGTGTATTCTGCCAATTTGTGATGGAATCTAGCAGTTCATGCAGAATCGTCGTGAAATTAATTCAATTGCAACGATGGAAGGGGAGATTTATGGGACATCCAATTTCGTTTCTGTTCATCTAGCAACAAAATTTTGAAGCTTTTGGGTTGAATTTTGAATTTCTCCACGCATCTGTTTGTTTCAGATAGATGGGCTTTAATGTTTTTTAGTTATGGCTTCTCAACTTGTTCACTTGGTCTACATATCACTACTCATGTGTACTTCTTCCTGTTTTCTGAATGGAGTTGTTAACTGATTTCTTTTATGTTGATTTGCACATTTGATCATGCTTCAGTGTCACACCTTCAAGCAAATAGCGTTCCAGGAATAACTTGGCACTAAATTCTCTCTAAGAGCTACACCAATGAGCACATGCACAACACTTCAGTACCATAATGACCTTGTGTACTCGAAATACATCAGCCTGGCCTATTTGTCTTGCCCCGTGAGTCAAGCACATTACTTTTCTAGTTAAAGCTCTGTCCTACAATGTACAATACCCAATGTTTGTTACTCCTACAAGAAGAACATGGATCTCTGGTGATATGCTATGGAAGCATACTATGGGGTTAGGAAGCATCAGGAAAAGTAGCAGCGAGGCGTGGATTTTGATAGCTAGTGAACACTAGAGGGACAAATTTTTTGCTGAGTTTTAGTGCTTTCATCCGATTGAAGTTGCTGATGAATTGTAATAACTTACAAGTTCGCTACCTGGTGGGCAGTTGATATCTACCTTATTAAGTAGCCTGATGATTTGCAGTTTTTTCTCGAAAAGCGGAGTACCCCGGCCTTTATCACACCATGCACACAACCATATTATTAAGCATGAAATAAGTTCAAGCCATGAGTGCTTGACAGTAGAAACAAATAAGCAGAAAACACGACCACAAACGGTCGAACCCGAGATTACATAGCTCATCCACATAATCTACAAGTGGCTCACCAGCCAAACTGGTTAAACAAACTTTGCGCAACTGTTTCCAGTCGGCTACACCTAGAGGCCATAAGCGCCCGTGCATCCACACGCTGCAGTGATGACCACATACGTGTTGAAGCTATAGCTATGTAGATAACCTACAAGAAATTTAGAGAAGATGGTTTGTTAAAGACGCAATCATTCCGGCAATTCCATATTGCCTAGAGAATAGCACAAATTCCCACACAAATTTGGCCCTTGAACTTATGATGAATACCACCTAACCAGTTTTAAAACAAATTTGAAATGCTCGTTGGCGGTGCTAAATTGTATGTAACATGAACCATGCGCCAGATTAATGTAGTAAACAAATATGACAATAAAGGATTAATTGTCTCCTCCTGATCACAAAAACAACATTTTTTGCTGCCATGCCAGCTATGCTTAGCAAGGTTATCTTTAGTAAGAACAACCTCCCTCTGCAAAAACCACATGAGAACTTTGAACTTGGAAGGAACTTTTATTTCCCACATATGTTTTTTTCTTTCGAAAATAGGTCCAGAATCCATAAGATCCGCATATACAGACTTCACAGTGAAGAAACTATTAGTGGTCAACCTCCGTTGAAAAGAATCTGGCATCCGAGTTAGATTAATTGACATCAATCTAGAAACCAAATGGATCCACTTAGTCCATTTGACGCCCAGTAATGCCCTGCAAAATTGGATGTTCAAAGGGCTATCCCCAAGAACAGAAGCCACTTAATCCTCTTTTCTGAACACATTATTATATAGGGTTGGGTATTGTAGAGCTAATGGAGTGTCACCCAAGCAGGTATCTTCCTAAAAACTCGTCGATTGGCCATTGCCAATCGTAAAGGAACATATCTTAAAAAAGGATGACTTGACCTTCATCAAGCCCCTCCAAAATGGTGAATCAGTAGGCTTAGCATCAAACACCTTCCTTGTTAAGCAACTTATACAACCATTTGCCGAGTAAGCTTATACAATGATTTGCCTCGCGATTTACATGACCACTGAATCATTGCTCATCACATAGCTGTGCTGTGAGGTGGCTGCTTCTCGTGTTACTTCGGCCTTAGTGGACCTTGTTTGTCGTTTCGGCCTACCATAGTTGGCTAGGGATCACGGCTTGGTAACACTAAATTGCTTTTGTATGTAGTGTGTGGTATTTGAGACGGACCAAGTATGCTTGGTGATCATACTCTAATTGATTGCTTCACATCATCTTTGCTACAAATGATGGATTTAGATAGAGCTAGACTTATAAATCAAAGAAGCCATAACATGTGTACATATTAATTAAAGACATGTAGATTACGGCCTCCATGTGCTCTTGTCAACTATTATTGGAATCTAGCTATTCATGTAACCTCCTCACCCCTCCCCACCCCCACCACAAAATTACAAGTCTCAGTTGAAGTATTTGAAGCTTTAGGTTGATGTGTATGAATGTGATTATACATAGTGACTAAATAATCCTTTTTAGTACCTCCTTGTATCAACTTCACTTTAAGACACGCATCAATGAACACAACACTACAATACCATAATGCACGTGCTACCCATGATACCATTAGCTTGCGTGTTTGTTGCACCCCATGACTCAAGCACATTACTGTTCTTATTTGAAGTTGTGGGCTAAACAACACATATGGTATATGTAGATATGTACCACAATATAGTAGCGGCACCAGCATGATAGCCTATGTTTGTAAACTGTAAGAACATGGATTTCATTTGACACTTCTTACCCTCGAAGAACACAAAAAACTTTCTGGGGTTAGGAAACACTAGGAAACTTGGCAGTGCGGCTTGAGTTCTCATGGCTAGAGAGCATTGGATTTATTGTCTGTGTACTCTTCTTGAAACTCCCATATGTTGTTTTGTTCCACTAAACCACCCTTCTATGCAATGTGGGAGCAGTCTAAAGAATTTGAGCAGCCTGCAGACCTTGATGAGCAATCATTGGTGAATGGTGATCCTATTATAAACACATAAAGCAAGAAGATGTCTAATTTTCAAAATCACTTGGTATATAGTCCATTTGTGTCGACATCTTGCAGGTCATGTAAAATCCTAGCAAAATTCATTCAGTTGCAAGGATTGAAGGAGTGATTTATGACATATCAAATTTTTTTCTCTC